CTGGACCTTAACACTAAGGTCAACAGCCCCAGGCCTGCCGGAACAGCCAGGTTTTAACGGTTCTCTGAACTACTCAAAATTTCCACTACCGGTTCTCCAGAACCTGCTGGATTTCACCCCTGCACTCTGGTGACTCTGAGGACCCAGATAACTCTCCCAAGTGCTTCAATAACACTCTCAAAGGATGCAAAAGACCAGCTGTCTGCAAGGACCATAAATCCTCCCATTCCCCACCATCCAGTCAGAGCTGAAGAAGCTCCTTGGATGAGAAGGGAAACGTCTTCAAAAGAAAAAAACAAGAAAGTCCAGTTGCCTCCTGAAAAAGGCCCGTTTGGGACAACCATGACCTGGATGACTGAGAATCTCTACAGACTTAAGGCCAGGACTGTTTTTTTTTAAATTAAATGCTCCATTTTTCTCAACTTCCAGCCCTTGCCACAGAATCTTATGTGTGCTGTAAAACAAACGGGGGGGCTTTTAAGACCTTGAAGACAGATCCTAGTGTTGAAAGGAATGTCCGGGACCGAGCTTGAAATCCCCCGTGCAGCTGTGAGCTGCAGTGGAAGATTTTAATGAGGGGCTTGTTCAGGCATTGAGGACGCGTCTGAGGTTTTTCCCGAACGCTGCTTGAAAACTTCAACAGTGACACATCCAGGCCAACCTGAGGGAGGATGTCATTGAGAAAACTGAGAATGATTTGCAGATAATGGTCTTACACAGAATTCCTCGTGTTTTGAAGCATCCGGGCCCAGCAGGCACCAAACGCTCCCAGGAGGCAGCTGGGCTTCGACCATTGTCCTTTCGGAGGCCTCCCATGGCCAATAGCTTGGGCAACTCTTTACTGCTCCTCAATAAAAAAATGGCCATCTGGGCTGCCACATTAATTCGCATTCTTTCCTTCTGGCACCTCAGAGATCTTTACGTTGGCATTTATATCACCCTGGTGCTCTCTTTCATTTTGAGTCCCTCTTTTCCTCATTCCTAATAGTATTGCTATTTTTATTTGACTTCAAATTTAACTCTGTCTGCCAACTGCCTAAGCAGAGAAAGCATCTGCTGTCAGGCAGGAGGTTGGACTTCCATGCCAAGAGGAGCATAGGTGGCTGGAAGGGACCTTGGAGGTCTTCTAGTCCAGCCCCCTGCTCAAGCAGGAGATTCTAAACAATTTCAGACAAGTGGCTTCCAATCTTTTCTTAAAAATCTCCAGCACACACACCTTATGATGGCAAGCAGTTCCACCAGTTGATCGTCCTCACTGTTAGGAAATTTCTCCTTACTGTCCTTGATCAGTTTCCACCCAATGCTTCTTACCCTGTCCTCTGGTGCTTTGGAGAATAATTGGATCGTGCCCCCCCCTTTGTGGCAGCCCCTTAAATGCTGGAATCCTGCTATCATGTCACCCCTAATTCTACTTTTCTCTAGACTGGCCAAACCCAAATCCTGCAGCCGTCCGTCCTGTTTTAGCCTCCTAAGGGAAGGTTGGGTGGGAGGGAAGGGCTCCTGCTCTTCCTTTAGGGTTGAGATGTAGAGCAGGGGCCTCCAACCTTGGCGACTTTAAGANCCCTCCCCTCCCTCTCCCTCTCCTCCCCTTCTTTCCTTTCCGCCTTCCCTTCCCTCTTCCCTCCCTCCCTCCTTTCCTTGCCCTTCCCTCCATGCTTGGATGCTCCATGCCCTCTGAGAGAGAAGGCAGGAGCTGTCCAGGCCCTTGCTGGGTGAGCTTAGGCAGAGGAAGGAATGGGGAAAGAGCCAGGGCAGAGCAGAGAAAGCAGAGCCACCACCAGGCTAGGGTTGATGTTCCCAAGGAGGATTTCCCAGTTGAGGGCTGAGCAGGCACCGGAGCTCCTAAAATCTAGGAAGCTGCCAGCCTTGGCCTGGATGGACCTGAATGCCCGTTGGCCCAGATTCCCAGGCTGCCTGAACCGGCTCCCTTCTGCCAAGCAGACCCCAAAGCAGACCAAGCATTTCTCCACTCTGTCCATCTTCTCAAATCCTGCTTGGAGATGGGACTCCCTGGGGGTTTGGCTCTCCATGGGGAACTCTCTGAGGGCTGGGCCACGATCCACCACCTCTTCTGGATCTGGAAGCCCCTCTCCCTCTGAACTCTTTTGCAGGGTGACCGAGGTTTCGGTGGCCTGGCTGGGATGCGTGGAGACAAGGGGAACAGGGTAAGTCCTGCTTACGTTTCTGCTTTGTTCTGCTTCCTGAAAGTTGCTAAGGAGAAGATGGCCTCTGTTGGCTTCTTTGGGTTTTTTTTTTGCTGCCAGCAAAAGTTGGTTTTGACTGACCAATTTCTCAGAGCGGATTGGAGAGGACGAAGATCTCCTGATCTTGACTGGTGGTCCTTCCCTGTGATCCAGAGGATCTGGGCCTTGAGCGGCCGGGTCTGTCCTCTGTGACTTTTCCCTGCCTCAGTTAGGGGTGAGGAGAGGTTTTTCAACAAGGGAAGAGAGGGAGGAGAATTTAAGGTCAGGACTCTCCCAAAGGTGCTTTTTTCAGAGGCAACTGGACTGTCCTGTTTTTCTTTTGAAAACAATTTGCTTCTCATCCAAGAAGCTTCTTCAGCTCTGGCTGGATGGTGGGGAACGGAAGGATTTATATTCCTTGGAGACAGCTGGTCATTTTCATCCTTTTAGGGGATCCTTGAAACACTTGGAAATTTATCTGTGTCCTCAGGGCCACCTGAGTGGTGCAAATGGTTCCTGTAGCCTGCAATTTTTTCCCCCTCTGGAAATCCATTCCTATAGATTTTTAGCTATACAATTTGGGATGAAGACCCTTTGAATGGGGGTGGGGGTAGGAATGGATTTCCAGAAGTAAAATTAACACTACAGGAACCATTTGCACCACTCAGGCAGTGGCAAAATTCATTTTTTTTTACTGCCGGTTCGGTGGGCGTGGCTTGGTGGGCGTGGCAGGGGAAGGATCCTGCAAAATCCCCATTCCCTCCCCACTCCTGGGGCCAGCCAAAAGTGGGATTTGCCCGTTTCATTTCATTTCATTTATTAAATTTATAGGCCACCCAATCCCGGAGGACTCCGGGCGGCTTACAACGAAAGAAGAAAAAAAAGAAAAGCAAAATAAGTAAAAAAATAGTTTAAAATTCACAACACACATACGTTCTAATCGGGGCTGGACCTTAACACTAAGGTCAACAGCCCCAGGCCTGCCGGAACAGCCAGGTTTTAATGGCTTTCCTGAAGGTGTTATCTGTTTGTTTATTTATCTGTTTGTATA